TATGTTGGCGGTAAACGAGCTGGCAAATGACACGAGGGGCATTATATCGAGGTTTCACTGTTTTTCCTTCCTCGATACTTTTAAAGTAACAATGAAACTACTGTTTGTCCTCCAAGTTATAAGAAGTAATTTGTTAATGAATAATCTTGTCCAATTTCCGCATTCGGGAGATGAGACTATTGACACTTGTTTCAACATAAACATTATTATGGGGATCGTTTCAAGGTTTGTGGACCTCTGTTATCGGTTTGAAGTGATTCATGGCGTGTCATTTAGCACTACCAGGCAACAAGACCATCCCCGACCTCCCCCGGGGTGTTAGGTCAAACAGACAAATAGTTAGAAATAAAGTGACATTTTTAGGACTCGAGATTTAGCGGTCACTTTCCCGGCAACCAGGTACTGGTATGTGTAGAGTGGTTTTATCTGGGACAGGTGTTATAGCAGGATAAGTTGGAATTACAAGTAGACAAGATATCAGGGTCTCCGTGTCTTACCAGTGTTTACTGTAGATAGTCATTTCCGGTGTAACTAAGGTCGGGGTGATGTTGAATGGTCCGTCCGTTGTCTGTCCATCAATTCGTTGTCCGACCGTTGTCTGTCCATCCATTCGTTGTCCGACCGTTGGCATGTCTGTCCATCAATTGGTTGTCCGACCGTTTTCTGTCAATCTATTCGTTGTCCGATCCTTGTCTGTCCATCCATTCATTGTCCGATGTTCATTCATCGTGCTGCCATTCATCGTCCATCTTTTATCTGTCCTGTTAGTGATGTTCCCTTCTTGTTCTCATTTTAAGGGCCGGTTTGAGGAGGAACACCCAATGGCGGAGCTAATTCAACTCCACATGCATCTATGTAAAACGCCATTATTACAATATTCAATAAGTACATAGTGTATATATCGTCTAGGTTAGCTGTGACTGAATGACTTTGTCAGCATGTGTATTTTTGATACTTGTCCTCGAGTAAATAAAAACGTGTGCAAAAATGCAGTCGTATAGTTTCATTCACGACCTATATAAAAATGCAATTGTTTCTGTCTCAAAACTATGTCAGAACGATTACGCTGATGACGTCATAGGGTCAATTACCACATACTGTATTGATTTAGAATAGATGACTTGAGCGGAGTGCGATGCCGTTCCCTGTGGAGACGATTCTATCCCACACCTGTCGTGTGACATGCTGTTCAATCGAAATGTATGTTATGGTAACAAGACTTAAACGATTTCATAACAGATTATACAAGACAGCGGAAGTCGAACTGCCGACCCTTCAATCTGATGTTGACGAGCATAAAATGATCTGTCGTTATTTTTATTTCAGATATAAAGCCTCGTTTCTAATTGCTGTAGTTAGAAGAGAAAATATGGAAACGAAACAGGGATTGGTATTAAAAATAACGACAGAACGAATCGTATCAAGCTTCCTATGATTGTGCTATCGGTAACAATATTGATTTTACTCGGGATTGTATGGGGGGGGGGGGGGGGGGGGGGGGGGATGGGAGGGAGAGACATTCCTATCTAGAGCCAGAAACAATCTCTATACTGTCCTTGATTGTCACACAATGTGTATTTCCATTTTGTAATGCTAGAAAGACAGCATCCATAGCGTCCGTCTAGAGTTCTTAGGGTCACGGGTTCGAATCCCAGTCTGGCCTTTATCCCTCTCCCGATACAGCTGCACTGTATAGGAAGATTGTAATATATTCTGTGGATTTGAAGTGGCAAAATATGTAACAGATCAATCTAGAGGAATAATCAGCGACACTGTCGCTACCACACCTGCTGGACGAGTTGGTGAGAACACGGACCGGAGGGTGGATTTAGAAAGTTTGACCGTTTGATTGATAGCCCACACTTAACTCTCTTTAATTGGTTAATCACGCCAGAATCAAAAGTAAGGACATGTTTTCAAGCTTATGTTTATTTCCGATCTCTACCTCCCACACTTGCTCGGGTTGGGTTGCTGGGAAACAGAACAACGGGCACGGTACGGCGTATTGTACGCTAATTTCATGAGCTTTATTTAGTGTCATCATCTATGTAACGCCTAAACTCTCTATGATTAAAATCCAGATTATCGTCCGTTTTGAAAAAAACGACCGATGTGTGATAACGAAGCAGTGGTATAGTTTTAATCATGAATGTAATATGTTTTCATTTGAATTAAGGTAGCCGGACATTCTATAATCGTGATGAGTGGGCGTACCAGGGTAAAAGATACAAGATTCCAATGAGACATAGCTCACCATTTGCAATATTTATGGGAACCTCTTGCAGGTTTACTTATTTATAAGAATGGTAACAATATCTTGCACGCTATTATAAAAGCTGTTAAAGCATTTTCAATATGAGATTGTAAAACATTGCCAATGGTGTAGAAATTTTCAGGAAAATCGGAACCTTTCGTTGTGTTTGTGAAACAACGACGCTAGTTGTGAGGTGCTTGATGTCAGAAGAAACCACTGGTGTTGTTCTGCTGCAACGATGTAAACAGCACATAATGTAAACAGTACATAATGTAAACAGTACATAATGTAAACAGTACATAAAGTACATAATGTAAACAGTACATAAGTGTAAACAGTACATAATGTAAACAGTACATAAGTGTAAATTTAATATTTGTAATCGTACTCTACATTTCAAAATAATAGTGCGTATGGTGTGCATGACACGTCGATTCGCTAAAAAGAATATAAAACGTACACAGTGTATATCATTAATACATCTCTGTAAAGATATGTTATAAAAGTTGACGTCAAAAAACTACAAAAATGTTCTGTACCTACGTTTAGGGTAATATTGCATAGGATGTACTGTATATGTTTTTTGTACTGTATAGGATGTGGTTGTACTGTATATGATGGGTGTACTGTATAGGATGGTTGTACTGTATAGGATGGTTGTACTGTATACGATGGTTGTACTGTATACGATGGTTGTACTATATATGATTGTTGTACTGTATAGGATGGTTATACTGTATAGGATGGTTGTACTGCATAGGATGGTTGTACTGTATATGATTGTTGTACTGTATAGGATGATTGTACTGTATATGATGGTTGTACTATATACGATGGTTGTACTGTATAGGATTGTTGTACTGTATAGGATGGTTGTACTGTATAGGATGGTTGTACTGTATATGATGGTTGTACTGTATATGATGGTTGTACTGTATATGATGGTTGTACTGTATATGATGGTTGTACTGTATATGATGGTTGTACTGTATACGATGGTTGTACTGTATAGGATGGTTGTGCTGTAAATGATGGTTGTACTGTATAGGATGGTTGTACTGTTTAGGATGGTTGTACTGTATATGATGGTTGTACTGTATATGATTGTTGTACTGTATATGATGGTTGTGCTGTATACGATGGTTGTACTGTATATGATGGTTGTACTGTATAGGATGGTTGTACTGCATAGGATGGTTGTACTGTATATGATGGTTGTACTGTATATGATGGTTGTGCTGTATATGATGGTTGTACTGTATAGGATGGTTGTACTGTATAGGATGGGTGTACTGTATATGATGGTTGTACTGTATAGGATTGTTGTACTGTATAGGATGGTTGTGCTGTATATGATTGTTGTACTGTATAGGATGGGTGTACTGTATATGATGGTTGTGCTGTATATGATGGGTGTACTGTATAGGATGGTTGTACTGTATATGATGGTTGTACTGTATACGATGGTTGTACTGTATAGGATTGTTGTACTGTATAGGATGGTTGTACTGTATAGGATGGTTGTACTGTATAGGATGGTTGTACTGTATATGATGGTTGTGCTGTAAAGGATGGTTGTACCGTATAGGATGGTTGTACTGTATATGATTGTTGTACTGTATATGATGGTTGTACTGTATAGGATGGTTGTACTGTATAGGATGGTTGT